GAAAAAAAGAGTTCAAACAATTCCAAAGAACTTTTTGAGTAAAATGATGAAATAGATGAAAGATCATAGTCATTATCTGGAAGATCGTCATAATTCAAAGCGCTTATCACGCCAATCATACTTATGATTCGGTTCTAGTAAGTTCTGGTCACTAGTATAAGAACTCTTTATATGTTCATACGATCCTGTAGGAAGCGGCCAAAGTGAAGTATATTCTTCTTCTTCATTACTTGAACCTTCATCTGAGCTCTCATGCTCTGTTGGAAGAAATGCAATATCAACATGATGGTCACCATCTATATCATCACCGTCAACCATCTCATTCAAATCAGCAATTCTTCGTCTCATCATGGTATTATAGTTTTATATTGAAGTATATAAAAAGAACAAAATCAGTAATTTATTCAATATAATAGAATGGTCTTCTATTTCACTGAGTGACAAGCTATCGTCGAAATAGTATATGACACCGAACTATTTAGTCGATTTACATTTGAAATGAAGATAGAAATGAAAATTAGAAAGAATTATAAAATTATGAGGAATTTCTACTTATGGTGTGATTATTTCAGTACAACCGTAAAAAATCTTTTTAAAGTTATTTTTAGTTCACATTCGGTTCGTAAAATTCAAATGATGGAAACTGCTTTATGATTTCTAATTACAATTGTATGATAAAAGGCTAAAGAGGTTTTCGCCTTGGTTTATCCCGTAGAATCGATTGCCGTAAATATTTTTTCAAAAAACTAAAACTTTTGTCAATTTATTTGAATAACTTTTTATAAACAATTGGAAATACAAAAAGAAAAAACACGTGTAAATTATTTTTGAGTTATAACATGAACCCAATAGTTATTTCAAGGCTATCTCGACTAGATTCGGCTTGAGATACAACGAGGTCAGCATCACTTCTCAGTTTCAAATTGTTTATAACGAAATTACACCAACAAAATCGAGTCTGAGAAAAAAACGCTACAGAGGTTTTCGCTTTGGTTTTTCCCGTAGAACCGATTGCCTTAAATAGTTTTTCAAAAAACTAAAACTTTTGTCAATTTGTTTAAATAACTTTTTATAAACAATTGGAAATGCAACAAGAAAAAACACGTGTAAATTATTTTTGAGCTATACCATAAACTCAATAGTTATTTCAAGGCTATCTCTACCAGATTCGGCTTGGGTATTAATGGGTTAATACGTTAATACCTTTATTAACCCTTTTCAATAGAATAGTTTCGTCAGTATTATCGTTACAATCTACACTTTTGCGATCTTTGCAACTACTTTCTCTAATCTTCGACATATAATATGGCTGTATACTTAATTTATTTTCTGTCATTGAGAGTTTCGTGGGGTGAATTTTATCATCTACAAAATTTTTATGGAGGGTGCTTTCATTACGGCTTTGCTTAACCCTACTTATTATATTGTTCTGAATAACTAATGAATTAGCTTTTGTGGAACTTGGACGTGCACTCCCGTATTCTTTGTTGGCTAATGCCAAATAGAAACTGAGTACGTACTTTGTTTTTTTCTAATTTCTGATTTTTTACAATTTTCAACATTCGAATTTCTAATTTCGGATGTACAGATTTCAGGTTCACTAATTTTAACTTCGCTAGCTATTTCCAGTCCAATTTCGGAATTATAAATCTGAGATTTTTTGTGTTGTAATTTACAGATTTCAAATTTTATTTGAACGATTGCAATTTGTTATTGATTTTGAATAACTATTATCATCTTGCGATGTTATATATTGATTATCAGCAGTTGTATTGTTGGTGGATAAACAAAATACTTTATCAGTGATTTTTAAAATATTGTTTTTATAATCTATTTTAGCGTTGAATTGACGCAAACATTCACTGCCGATTAGTCCGTCTTCTTCAATAGGTAAATCATCGAGTATCATATGAAATTCGAATTATAAATCTTTTATTGTAATATTTATTTTTCCTAATGTTACTACACTGTTATGTGTAATACCTCGCAACTCTAAAATATTCAATTTATTCAGATATACTTCGTTTGGTTTCTTAGACCATTTCAGTCGAGATGGTCCGACACCAGTATCTGATATATTTTGATTTTTATCTTCTAAAATGAAAGTTGGTGACTTACTATTTAAGTTTAACAACACCAGTCTTTTCGTTACTTCTAATTTCTTTGTATTCTTACTTAAACTCGGCGCTCCATCTGGCTGGACGTTTGCCCGGTCGCGCCCGTCACCTGGAAACCACTGGCATTTCCCTGTCGTTGTTTCCTTTGTTCATTAAAAATTCTGTTGTTACATCTTATTTTCCAGTGACCTTTAATACCACAATAATTACAAATAGTCGGATCTCTGCTTTGATTTCCTGATCCGCGATCGTTAGAATTAAAATTTCCCTGGTATTGATTTTTTGATGTAGAGTTCTGATTTGCTTGGGGCGGAGCTACTTACTGGCTCATTCTTTCTCTATTGGCTGTATTTTGACTATTCATTTGCTTTTAGCCTTCGTTACTATTGAATGTTTCATTTCTAAATTTCTTACTGCCATTGTTACGGTAAAAACAAGTATCTGCTAAATGATTTCACAACTTACAAATTTGACATACTTACAACATTATATTTTTTTTCGCGTACTGCTGCGCTTACTAATTCTCACGCTACCGTTTTAACTCTCTATGAGAATTTTACTACATTTTCTGAGGCTTTTTGCTTAAGCATAGCCAGCTCACCGGATAATTGGTTGAAAGTTTTGTCTGATCCGAAAAGATGATCTAAATACATTTCAATCTCGCTAATTGTCTCAAAATTTTTTCCATGTATACTTAATAATGCGTTCCGTATAATCTCATTTTAACTAATCTTGCTACATCCGCTTCATTTCCAGGTGGAATAACATTATAAACTTCCCAACAACCGTCTAGAAAATCATGTAGCGGAATGCAGTATCCATCGTAATTAGGAATGAAATCTACGATATCTTTCAAACCTACATTTTTCATAGAGCTAATTGTAGAATTTTGTACCGTACGGGTTACCTCTTGTGGAGTTGAATGATTGTGCTGGTAAATGATCTGCATGTTGACTTTGGTGTAAAGTATTCTGAATGCTACTTTTCTCGTTTTGACTTTTTTCAATATATTTTGTTATGAAAAAATTAACGTTTTTATGATTTATAACAGGAATTTCGTTTCTTGTCTTATTTATTTCGTCTTCGTTATCATTATCAATTGTCGAGTTTGTCAAAGCTTGAAAATATTCTCTTGACTCGTCTTCCGTTATTTCCGCGTTTGACTCAATTATTGGTTGAAACTTATTTTCAAATTGTACTACTTTGTCTGTATAATTCACTGCTTCTAGAATTTCTTGTGGATTTATATTACGTTTTGTTAATTCTTCTACAATGTGTAGTAAAAGTGGATCTTGACATGAATTCCTTATTAATTCTCCATTTATATAATGTTCTAAAATTTTTATTAATTTTTCTAGTTGTTGTTATTTTTTGCCCTCTATTTCGAAACCTAAATGCTAACGAGCGTGCAGAAATTGTATACATTCTAGTAATATTGGTTCTCTACTAGTTATATAATTCGGATCTACTTTTCCTATGCAGTTTTTTAAAACTAATAGTGCTTCCGCATTTCGTTTACCTCTCAAATCAGCTTCCGTAGCCATGTTTGTAAAAACAAATTACTTTTGCCTAGTCCTGCTTTTCGTTAAAAAAAATAAACCCGGAGGGGTCCCCAATTGTTACGTCTTGCGTAACGGTCGCGAATTGGCAAGAGTTACTCAAACGCGACTGTCTCTTTTCGGTCAACGCGTAAGCGCTTTACCACGGGTTCGAGACTAAAACAAGAGCAGGCCGGCAACGTATCTAAAGCACCGAGTGGAAAAGTAACAATTTAAATAATTTTACCTGTAGTTTAACTGGTTCAGAAACTCGTACCTCAGAAGCCAGAGATGTAACGTAGATACAAGAATTAGATATAACTCTCAAATAAATTATTATAGAAATAGAGTTAAAATATTTATTGTTCAAATTACAGAAGTTCCGTAGTCTTACAGAGTCGAATACAGAGTGTCTTTTACAATCGCTTTGCGCCCTCTTTTATGGTACAAAATAAATAAAAACTAATCAATAATGAATTGAACCCAGAAGGGATAAGTGCGTCATTGACAATAAAGTCAGCTATTAAATGACTATTACTTTAATTACGGAAACTCCCCCTTCATAAAAAAAATTCAACTTTTACCACTATAAAGTAGTCTGACTCGTCCTCGACGTAATAGTATATGAAAGATAAACATGTTTTCATCATTTTCGGAACAAAATTGAATTATGTTCATATACAAAGAGTACTATGTACTTGTCTTGAATCAAATAAAAATATATGATAAAAAGAGAGTTTAGATAAAATTCACAGTATGTTAATCTTATTAACAAAAATAAATTTCTGAAAATTACATTATATGAATTAAAATTTTCTTTGAATGAAAGATTGCAATATGAACTCTCTATTCTAGTAATAAAATAGTTATTATGTGATACATCAATTAAGAAATATTAGAAGGAATCTCGATTGCCATATTATTTGTTGTACGAGTATGTTACGTACTTTGCACCTATTTGCATTTAATTCACTACAGTAACCTTTGATATGTTTAATAAAACTTAATGAAGAAGCAATTCTTAGAAATATCTATAGAAAACAATCAATTATATCTAGTGATTATTGCAATTCTATTAAAAAAGTTTTTCTGATTCATCATTGGTCCTAAAAATTTTTATTTACAAAAAAAAATCTTTTTCTTTCGCTCATTGAAAATAATAATCAAGCAAAATGTATATAAAACCTTAATTTGTCTTATTATAATAGAAAATATTTTATTAATGCATTTATAAACCATTTCACTTTTTTCTTCCGAAATATAGATAAAAGTATAATAATTTATACTTATTATAATTTATCTTTAAAATAAAACATATTTTTTCTAATTAATGATATATTTACAGTTATATGTGCGCAAGGTCTCATTGCAAAAGATAAAAGTGGAACATCAGATCCATACGTCACAGTTCAAGTAGGTAAAGTTAAAAAGCGCACAAAAACGATGCCTCAAGAATTAAACCCAGTTTGGAATGAAAAATTTTATTTGTAAGTAAAAATACATATATTTTGATGAACAGCTAAATTTATTGATAAGAACATGCTATTTATCTAACTAAAACGTATGCGATTTTGTACAGCAATGAGATATTATTCATAGTATTTATGACTGTTCCGAGCGTGAGGCTGGAATATTGATTTTATAACAGTTGAAAAGTAAAAGACTTTTCAACATATTCATTATCTTCCGGCAGGCCAATTACTTCCTGCCGTTTCTCGCAACTATCCCTTTTGCAATAGCCACAAAAATCAAAAAATTTCAATCCGTGCTTTTTGCAACTACAAGTACACTTACACCGTTTTTTACGATTGCACCGGATGCTTTTAAAAATTTCGTTCTGCAAAAGCTTTCCATCAACGAACCCCGGTTTATAACAATTATTATTAAACTTCCAGCCCCAGTTGTTTGGTATCAAGCTTTTAGAATCGGTTGTGTCGCCCTTCTTTTGTGTAAAACCAAACCAATGTTAAATTTGGTAGTACACTCTCTATGAGTGACATATAGTTGCTAATTCACTAGATGGTAAATGTTTTAAATCGATTGATTTATTATTTCGCGTACCAAGATCGAAGCAGCGATACCGAAATTCATTTAATTTCAAGACTTGGTTTGGCTTTGCACCGTACAAAGCCATTATTGATACATTCCCGGCTGAAATTATTTCCGATTTACTTGCATTCGAATTATTGAAAATGGCTAGTTTACCTGCTAAAATAGTATTTCGTAATAAAATCTTCATCAATTTGTTTTTGCCTTGCTTGTAAAATGTCAAAGTTGTGTGGCAATCAGTAAAAGCGTGTAGAAACAAAATTAATGATTTAAATTCAGGGTAAATAAAGCTGTTCTCGTCATATAAGTTGTAACGGGGTGTGAATCCGTTTTAATTTCTTTGTCTCGCCCGATGTGCAGTCGTTCCGGAATTCGCGCGAAGAGATCGAAATAATCAATTTTTGTTAACTAACCGATAAGTGGGGAACGACAGGTATCAGTCAACCAACTTACTAATAGTAAAAGACAACAGTAAATTAATGTTTCAATCATGCACGGACTAGTTTATTTATTATGTAATCTACAACGCATTTGGCCCGCGCATTGACGCTTATACGATGTGCGCTACAATCTAACGCGCCGCCATTTCGTTTACAATCGTTCGTTTCTGTTACTCGTTTGCATGCTCGCTACCGATTTCTTTACGTTCGCAGACGTGAGGGGAGAGCTAAAATATTACGAGCGGTCCCTTATCGAAAACAATAACGCGAAGCTGGTCATCTTACCTTATGCGATTAGTCGCGCTGTCAGGGGGAGCAATTCAACGTCGTCTCTTAACACATGGCTCAGGTTGCCACTTTTCCAAATTAAAAACGAGGCTCTCTCTGTTATCCTGCTGCTTCCGTCGGACATATTCGGCGACCTCTTGGCTGGCCTCCGATGGCGTCTCGGCTAACCACTCGAAACCGCAGCAACAACAAAAACTATTAGTCGGCTAACGTTCACGCTCCTTGCGACGTTCACATGCACGCACGCTGTTGCCGATGCTAGAGGCACTCCTGAGTTCAGAAATGCTATTCGCGATTTTCGAGTAACTGCTCAACTCTAGCGTTAATCCTCGACTCCTGCACATTGTTACCGGTGTCAAAGGCGCTCTCCCACTGGTTCTTTTCTCTTTGCGTGCGTTCCTTCCCATTTCGGATTGAGTTCCCGTTTTTGACTTCCCCAGCCGGTAGGTGCTGCCCTCGCAGGCAGCCACGCGATCGAGACGGTAGCGTGAACCGGACGTTTACCGTCACAAAGTCTATCGTTTCCTTAACATCTCTTAAAAAATAGTCTTTTTTATTAAGTGGAGTTTGTTGCTTCATAATCACTAATAAGTCTGTATTTGTCCCAACGATTACAGATGCTCTTCATCTCTAGTTTTGTGAATGGTAGTTTCTACAATTAGTGTGTCAGCGTCTTTGGTACTTTGTAAAACATGTTTGTTATTACTTATTAATTTTCCCATTAATAAATTTATAAATTTATTTTTATTTTCGTCATTTGTGAAAAAGTCTGTTTGGGTTTTTGAAAGGGTCGTTTGGTCATCAAAGACTATTTCCCTACAAACACCAATGGCTTTTCGATGGATTCTTTCGTGGATAATTTTGTATCCATCGAAAACAATTGTAATTTTTGATTCGGCATATTTTTGATTTAAATAGTTAACATACAACTATGCAATATCGCCATAATTTGTAAACCTTACATTTTGTGGGCACACAACTTTTTGTAAAAAAAACCCACCATCAATAATATATTCTACTTTATCCGGTAAGGCATCTATTGTCTTAAAATTGTCTATAAACTTAGATTTATCAGTTTTTTGCATTAAGCCATTGTCAAAAATTGACACCGAATATAGAGTTAACTTAAAACTTATAAATTCTTTTAAATTTTGATTAAGGTTAACCGCAACCGTAATTCTTTGGAAAATCAAAATAGGATTGGCTATAATAATATCATCTGCAACAACAATTTTTTCAGTAGCTGCTTATAAAGATACAACGTTATTTTTTCTGAAAAATTTAACTTCATCGAACGTGGCTGTACTTTGAAATTGTTCCCGTATAAGTCGCTTACCCATCTCCAAAGTTCTATGGCAGTTTATACTGGAATCACCCATAATTCCTGTGCTAAGAGAAACTGATGAAGAGGAACTCCTGTCCTTGTTTGACCCGCAGCAGGGCTTATCCATAGACCCTATGGCGTTCGGTCACCTTTTGCCCTCTCCCCGAGCAGTTCTTCTATGGCATGGCGGTCCATAAAGCGTCTCAGGTGTTCCTGCACCTGAGACTGGAGATCTGCTGCGGACCGCCAGGCACTCTCCAGCTCGTTGAGCCCTAGACGTACATGTCTGAAGTCGAGGAGGAGAGTCGGCTGCTCAGGGATTCGGGGGTAGTTACAGACCCAGTGCGAAGCCCCACAGGTTTCCCTGGGTCGCACAGTCCGACCGTGGCTCGCACTGTCCGACGTCTGGGGTACACCGGACTTAAGGGTCTGTACCTCTAGGTCCACGATGAACTTGGGACACTTGACCTCTTCCTCTTCTTCCATCTGGCTCGAAGCGTCTCAAGAAGACTTCTACGGAGTGACCCATGTCGCATCCCGGAGAACTTCCGCCACTGATCTGTGATGGCGCTCCCCTTGAAGTGGACCCTGGTAAAGTTACGTAGATCTTCAATAAGCTGAGTAGCATCAGGGCCCAGCTGCAGATCTAACCTCATCTGGGTGACCACCTCGAAGGTCTCTTCCTCCACGACGATTCTTCGGTCCATCTGTAACATTCAAAACAAAAAAATTTTGGATGAAACTTCCTGCGCGAAGAAAATCCTATTATGCCGCATCCCACCAAGTTACGCGTTACCTCGCTTTTCCCTGCGTGAAAGCCCTGGCCCTCCTCGGTTACCGCTCCCTTCCCGTTAACAATAATGTTGTGACGGGAGCAGGCGACGATGTCTTGTCGTGCACCGTTTCCTCCCCTTCCTCTACTCTCGGCTGGCCTAGCGACCGACCTTGGGCACATTCTAAAGTGCGCCTATTATGGATTGTTTTCTATCAGCGGTGAATAATGATCAGTGAGCCGATAGTGGGGTCAGAGAGGGCTACAATGAGTAAGAAAAGGAGAGAAAGAGAAGAAAGAGAGAGAGAGAGAGAAAGAGAGATATGGGACAAGTGCCGGTATTGGGCAATGGTTCGCGACAGGTGCGCGACCGATTAGCGGCGAAATTAGGTCAAAAGGAGATGCGTCGGACGTCAAGAGAAGAAAAGGCTTGAGTGACAGTTAGGTACAGGTAGTCGAGGACTGAAGGATAGGTAGTCGGAGAGTCAAGGTGAAGAGTGGAGTACGAAGTGAGAAGTAATACTAAGTTAGTCAGCAGAGGACGTCAACGGCCAACCGCGTGCGAAGAACGAGCACAGACGAGGCTGAGTACGAGGAGCAAGAAGCCGAGGAGAAGCTGCTTAACGGAGGACAACGACACGCCTGTGCGGAAGGTGGCCCAGCACTTCCTACTCATCGAGAAGCCACAGCAGTCTCAAGGTTAAGTGCTCTTCCAGAATTCTCTTTCTCTCTCTCTCTCAGACGTGGCAATCACTCTCGCTTGTTACGGGTGCCGCAAATAGTTAGGCGTTCATCCGCCAACTATTGCGACGGTCCTTTGTGCTGGTGTTTGCGCCGTTGCCATGGCAATATTTCGCCAGGCAATAAGCTGACTGATTGTCGGGCTTCTTTATACAGTAGGTTAAGTTATTGTATAAATATAGGATAAGATTTGGAATTTACGAGATCTACACCGCTTTATTTTCCTTTCTCTTACCCAAATCCTCTCTCAGTTACTCAGAGTATCATTCCCTTTCTTTCCCGCCTCAAATAATTGGTGACGAGCTGTATTGTCTCGTTACAATATTGAAGTCATACAGCCATGCAATAATGATAATAACAAAAAGAGTATTAATGTATATAAATAAAGCTCATCATCTCATGAAAAGCTATAACGAGTAAGATTGCTAACCGTTGTGTCTCTCTCTTTCTTTATGATTTAATAATTATCATTATTTTATAATTACTATTGTATGACATTATACTTTGTATGATTCCAATTATGTATATCTATGATCTCACACAAGGTAAGTAGAAGAAAGAAATACGAATACGCAGCGATACGCTCAATGTGTGTAAGCAAGACAGGGAAAGAAAGACAGGTACATCTCAGAAGAGTAATCACGGGCGCTAATTGGTCAAGACAAACAAAATGCGAGGAGAGATCTTGCGAAGTCAGACAACAGCTTTCTTGATTCTCTTGCGAGCAGACGCACATATCTTATTCATTTCTAAAATCTGAAAGCAAAATAGAGAGGTGAATTGTCGAGATTTGAAGTATTTACATAAGGAGAAGAAAGGTAGAAGGAAGATTGTCGTTGCGACTACGCGAGTGAGGAACTGTAGAAGGTATTC